TACCGCTTCTAAGTTAACTGCCATCTAGTTAGTTAAGTAATTAACGTTTACAGCAGGATATACAGATACACAAAGATCACTGCTCCAGGATCTCCTCGCCAACGCTTCCTTAGAGTCTAATGAAAAAGTACCCAGTTTTCGAACACTGCAGTTACATGGTCTACAGATGGACAAGCATGAGACGTCCAAGGCTTTTCAGTGTAGAACACTACTTCCTCAGTGTAACGGTCTCCTTGCGCTCCTTAAACTTTCTCAGTAATGGCAGTAATGACAGTACCGACATGCACGGTGAATTGAAGAATGGGTTTAAAAGACAGTACAACCAGAGAGAAAGTCGGTATGGTGAGAAGTTTTCCAGACAGTGACTTACACCTGCAAGCGTTTTACTTTTTTTAAATATCAAACTTCATCTTCAAAATTAAAGCTTAAATGAGGCCTACCGCTTAACCCACGCTTTTTTGCTCGTTTGGTGGCCTCCATGGCCTCCTCTTCGTGCCGATTTCCGGGTTTAGGCATCTCCTGGGTTTTCTGGGCAATCGCCTCCTTCTCCTTGGCCTCCTTTCGCTCTTTTGCTAACATTTCATCTACGTCCTTGTAGGGATTCACAAACACTTGACAGGCCAAAATTTTAATTTCCTCCTAAAAGGACAAGGATTGATTTTAGGTACCCGTAGAGGAGGCCAAATAAAGCAGCATGATTTCTGATTGAACAGTTCAGGGTAAAAGCGACCAGGAAGTCAACAAGAACCTACTAAAAATAAGGGCGACGTTTGGTAGTGAAGCGGTCAAATGGTGAGGAAAAACGAGTACTAATCCCAAAGAGGGGTCTGGTTTCAGAGCTCCTTCAGCCAGTGGTAGAAGAAATACGACTTTGCGAAGAAGGTAACCGGCTTTTCTTAAAACTCCCTTATTAGAAATGGCGAAATCTTATCAACGACATGAATACCTAGCGTTGAATGTTTTCTCTCAGTACAGGTAGCAGACCAACGCAATGAATTTGCATTCACGGGAGATACTCATAGCCGAGGTTTGGAGATGAAATCCACCCA